TGCATCCACTTCAAGGAGAAATGTCTCAGGCGTTGGTAAGTGCCCACTGCCGTGCAGAATCTCTTTTCCCACCGGAGAGTCACTGGGCAGGACGCCTTTCTCCCTTTTAGTGGTTATGAAATTAAAAAGGTTGCCTTCCTTTCTTTCATCTCTTGTACACACTCTCTCCATCTTTGAAATTGATTCCTCTATGATGAGCAGGTAGACTAGCCCAGGCCGGGCCAGCTAGTCATGTGCTCAACGGTGTTGTGTCCATGTGTGATAAAGGCATGGGCTTAAACCTGTTCCTCACTTGGGAAGAGGGTGACATGGGCCCTTCTTATACAAAGGACTGGAACAGAGTCTTCTGCTCCTATATCCAGAGCGAAGATATGGCCAGATACCATGTGGGACTCAAAGAGGGGCTCAGGACACATAGAGGTCGGTACTATCACAGGCAAAGACTTTACTTTTAAGTGAGCATGCATCACAAGGTTTGGGAGTAGAAATGCAAGAACAGGTTCCAAAGATGTCTGCCTGGGGCAGAGCCTGGCCAGCTATCCTCAAAACTCTTTCCTCCTCCTATAGGTCACAGCCCTACTTTCTCTTGAGCTTGGATATAGTGATGTGATTGCATTCTGCCTGACAGCGTGCGAAAAGGAGCTCACAACTTTCTGGTCCATTCAAATCCCACATCACCCGCTCTCAACATCCACCTGCCACAGGGCAGTCTCCACAGCCTGGGCGTGAGCCTCTGTATGACAACAAAGACCAGGGCTTGCCTGTCTCCACAACCTACTGGGTGGGCTTCATACGGGAAATGAAGTTCTTTTATCTTCACCATTAACACTTGGGGCTGTTGAGCATATAGTTGGCCTTCTCTTATGTAATACACTGAAGGCTAGAATGGAAGCTACTGAGCTCGCCCAGGGCTGGGCGGGGAGTGTTCGTGTTTTCTTCTTTTTAGAATGGATGCACGCTGGGCATGGTGGGATGTGTCTTTAATCTCAGCACTTGGCAGGCAGAGGCAGAGGGATCTCTGTGAGTTTGAGGCCAGTTGGGTCTACAAAGTGAGTTTCAGGATAGCCAGGACTGTTACACAAAGAAACCCTGACCCCAAAAGCCACAAATAAAAACCAACCAGGCAGCCAAACAAACAAATAAAACAAATGTCTGTGTGTGGGGGGGAGTAGTGGTTCAAATGTGTGCATGTACACACAGATACCATCCTCAGAAACCCTGTCTCCGTCCTTTGAAGCAGGGTCTTTCATTGACCTTGGAGAGCATCTGATTGGCCAGAGAGAGCACCAGGGATACTCCCGTCTCTGCCTTCCCAATACTGAGATTGTGGACACCCACCCCTTTAGGTTTGAGACCTTTAAGTGAGTTCTGGGGATCAGACTTAGGTCCTCATGCTTTCAAGGAAGGCACTTTACTGACTGAGCCACCCACCACCTCCAGCCCCAACACTTATTTTCATTAAAGAACTATAGCATTGGTTTCTGTGTTGGTTCTAACAGACCCATCTCTGCAAATTATGGAGGCAGAACTTTCAGCTCAGCTGAACATGTGACCACATGACTGCAGTCGGTGGTGGCAAGTCCCTAAATGCAGCCTGGCACGAGAGTCAGCCCAGGATGACTGCACAGCTTCTGCTGAGACAGGGTTTCCTCCAGGCTAAGAATAAACAGTGGACTTGGGCATTTTGGCGCAAGATGCTAACTCCAGGCAGAACTAGGTCCAGGCTAGCGACATAGCTAGTCTACACTATGGTCACTGGTGGGACCTAGCAAAAGCCTCAACTCCCCAGGCTGTGGGACCTGATGGCTCAGCATACTTGGGGACATGTGTATGAAAGAGGGATAAGAAGCCAGGACAGATTTCAGACAGGCTGGGAGAGGGCAGAGGTATAGGGACCACAGACCTCAGTCTCTAGCTTGGTGCTCTTCCCTGGGACCAGGATGTAAGAAGCCTTTGAAGAAGGAAGGAGAGTAGAGTTTCAGAGAGGCCAGCAGAGCCAGCCCATCACTCTTGGGAAGAATTTTCCAGATCACAGTCCTACGAGACAGGAATGGTAGCGCGGGATGGTGAGGTCCCTGAGGTGTGGAGTGGGCAGAACTAAGGGAAATCAGTAATATTTTTTCTCCAGGCCTCTGATACCCAGCAAAGGCCACGCGAGGGAGAAGCTAGTGACTCATAGCAGTTGTCGGAGCCGGTGCAACCTGCCAAGTATAGCTTGAGTAGATGGGTCAACCTGGCACTTCTCTCCCTTTCTTACCCTGCCCTGTGGCAGGGGCAGTGGCAGCTGGCTGCCCTGACTGTCCTGACTGTGTTGTATGTAGGGGTGTGGAGGCAGTCCAGTCCTTTATCAGAATAGGAGAGCCTGCTGGCCATTTATCTCAGCTAGTGTCTCTCCTTCAAGAAGGCTTCTTGCATTCGGGTTCTAGGAAAGGGCACCAAACTAGGAGACTGAGTCCTGTTGTCCGCATATCTCTGCCCAGTCCACCTAAACTCTGTCCTGGTTACCCAGCCCCCTTTCTTCTCATCTTAGATGGATATCTAGGAAAAAGTGTCCCTGGGAAATCCTGAGCTACCAGTTCCCACGGCCCAGGGGAGTTCAGGGCTTTGCCAAGCTCCACCATTTGCTCAGCTGCTCCCAGCTTACCCATGGTAAAGCATCTCAATGGCAAAGCACTTCCAGGCTAAGCTTAGCCTGGTCCTCAGATTCAAGACAGAGACACCAGTCTTGTCCACAGGGTATCCACCCTTACCACCTCACCCTTTCTCTTGGATGCCCCACCTGAGACACTAGGACTCAAAGGACCTCAAAGGAGCATGCCCCTCACCTCCCCACATCAAAAATAGAACATTTTAAAAATGTTTTTATTTAATTAAAAAAAAGACAGAACTAACAATCCCAAACCATGGATGGGTACAGGGTCACAGGGACTTAACTGGTGAAACACACAGGGGAGGGGTTGGGACAGAGGAAGGATAGGAAGGTGGGCTCAGGCCGAATGTCCTTTCAGAGAAGGAGCCAGATCTGAGCCTGTCAGCAGTAGGGTCCAGCTCTACTCCCTTTGTCCCACAGGGAGGGGGAAGCTGGAGACCAGGGTCCCCAGAATGAGGCCAGCAGTCAGTGGGAGACAGGCTGTGAGGGCTGGGGTCGCTGAGGCCTTCTCCCTGTGCTCTACCCCCATCTCTTTTCTTCCTAACTCCTTCTTGGTCCCTGGAGTGGGCCTGTGCACTCTGCCTGGAACCGGACAAGAGGTAGGAGCCATCGGAACACCTTTCTTATGTGGAATCATGGAAACTTCTGGAATCACAGTTGGGGTGGTGGTGGCTTGCGTGGAAGTTTACCACCAGGCTGCTCTATTGCCAGAAGAGACATCAGACAGGTCCTGGGTCTCCCTGGGGGCTGGGGCTTTCCTTCAGCCTCATCAGATGTAATAATGGTGGTAGAGGAGAGGGGAGGGTGGGTAGGAGGAAGGCAGGGAGAAGGCCTGCAGCAGGGACAGGCCACACATGTCTTGACATTGGCGCTCACTGTTGCACATGCTTTGTCACATACTGAGGAGCCAACCTGGCCAGGAGGGAATGGTTTTGAGCAAGCGCAAAGGAGCCTTGGCATGCCCACGACTCAGCTCACCAGCTCATAGGCCATTGTTGGAGCTATGGTATAGGTTGTCTTCTTCCAGTGGTGGTGGTGGAGGGGGCAGGAAAGGACAAATGGACCTGCATCTGAACTCCGAGTTAGCCTAGGGGTGGGGAGGCTCCATGAGCAGGTGACTGAGGTAAGAATTGGCTGGTCACTTCTAAGTGAGACAGTTACCAGGGTCACAGAAGACTGTTCAAAATCGGATTAAGAAGTCTCAAAAAGTAAGAAACGATTGATCCTTAGAAAGCACGCGTGTTATAGAAAAGAGGGTGAGTTTCACTTTCTGGAGAGTTCTTTCTAACCTGGACACACTCGTATGTTTTTTTTTTTTGTTGTTGTTGTTGTTGTTGTTGTTCACCTCAAGAGGAAGAGGGGGATCAGTTGGACAAACTGTCGGACACAGAACTCATCCTTGGATTCAGGCAAAGATAGAAAGCCCAGCATGGCCCCTCAAGTCAAATGTTCACCGAGTCCTGGTTTGGGCAAAATAAGTTACAAAGGCAGGAGCCGGGGGAGATGTTGTTGCTCTTTTTTAGGATAAAGAGGTGAGTACAGCTTGCTCTTGTGCTGATATTCTTCAGTATGCCACGATTCATAATCACCTGGAAATGGATGCTCTTTCTTCCTTCTTTTTGGTCTCTACCCACTCTCAAGTTTCCCTTTCTTGCACTGAAGCTTGTGTATCTGTTTGAGAACACGAGTTTGGAGGTGGAGGAATGGTTCCAAGACGCAGCAGGGCCCTCTGATGCTCAGGGCACAGAGTGGTTCCTCAGGCCAGTGTGGAGGGACAGAGCTAAAGGCCACATACCCACCTTCCCTCAGATCCATGGCATCCTCCAGACCTCCCAAGATTAGTCAGTATGTCCTGTACGTTCTGAGCTCAGCAGAAGCTTCCAGAAGCATGTAGGAAAGCCTGCAGAGCCTCTGAATTTGCCCTGGATTTCTGGTCTCCTGATATGGAAAGAAGCCGGCCCCAGGACAGCTCGAGGCCGAAGCACCAGTTAGCCATAGAGCTTTCTCTTCAGGATGGATGATATTTACAACCACCAGCTCCACCAGGGTGCCAGACAGAGGCCGAGGGAGACACAGAGGGGACTGGAACAAACTTAGGCTCATTTTGGGCTCCAGGACATAGGAACTTCTGGGCAGGAAACAGCCGATGGGAGCCCAGAGGTCCCAGTGGAAGAAGCCTTCCTGTGGCCCAGTGAAGGGGGACACGTTTGACATCTGGCATGACTGGTTTCTTGGCTCCCAAGAGGCAGGCTGATGCAGCTTCTGGAAAATTCTTGGGCCTCTTGAGAAGTTTCAAAACCTAGAGGGCAGCAAAACATCCTGTCTTGGGAGAAAGTCAGCCTTTAGTTTCTACCTTGTCCCTGATTCCAATCTCCCAACTTCCCTCACTCTGACCTGGCCCATGGCATCTTCTGGAGGCCAGGGAGGATCGCACTCAGCTCCAGTTCACTGTCTGTAATCTTAAGGGTCACCCTGTTCTGTGTCACACAAACAGCCACCTTGGGGGAGGCCTGTGCTGAGAGGGGTGGGTAGGTCACACGGGAGTTGTCCGCCGGTTCAGCATGCTGACGTGGAAACCCTCCTTTAGGTCCTGCTGGAAGAAGTCATGCATCTGCAGGAAGCCAGCATCTTGGTCTGGACTGTAGCTGGCAGCTGTGGTCACCTTGAGGGGTTCTCTGGATAGTGTGTACATGGACAGCTCACCCATGGGAATGGCCCCGGTGATCTTCAGGCCTACGGGAGATGCATCCCTGGAGGGCGAAGCCTCCGTGGACCTTGAACTGGACCTGGACCGCCGTCGCCGGTACCTGTAGCTCGGCATCCTGGCGTAAGGAGAGGAGGAAGAGGCCTTAAGGAATTCCCGTTTGGTCTTAAACCTCAACTCTTTATTTTTCTCAATGTAAATGTTTACAGCCAGGACGCCCACGGTCTCCGCCACAATGAACGACAGGGCTCCAAAGTAAAAAGACCAGCCGTAGTTGTAATGGTTCTTTTTGTCTTCGTCACGTTTGTCACTGGGGTCGCCCGTGTTGCTGGAAATGTAGACAATGATGCCGATGATATTACTGAGGCCTGAAAGAAAGCAGGACAGGGAGAGAGATAGAGGTTAGACTCACAGCAGGAATGAGAGAATGGAGAACAGGCTGCTGAACTTGGGATGGTGACCAGTCTTCTCCTCAATGAATATTTATGTATTATGGTCGTCTATCTATTTTTATTTTTTTTAGATAGCATCTAATGTAGCCCAGGCTTGCCCTGCATTTATGTAACTGAGGATGACCTTGAATTTCCACTTAATCCCCCACCTCCCAAGTGCTGGGATTACAAGCATACACTATCTCAGCTGGCTGGGTAACTAATTCTTTTTCCTTTCTACCCTCTTTTCATCCCTCCCTCCCTCCTTTTTTCTTCCCTCTCTTTCCTTTTGAGAGGGTGTCATGTAGCTCAGGCTGGCTCAGACACCCCTAGGTATCTGAGGATGGCTTTGAACTCCTGATCCTCTGTTTAAAATACTTATCTTATGTACATGTGTATTGGTGTTTTGCCCGCATGTCTGTGTACCACTTGTCTGCCTGGAAAGGCAGGAAGAGGAGGGCATCAGATCCTCTAGAACTGGGTCTGTTGTAAGCCACCATGTGTGTATTGGGAATCAAACTCCTGACCTCTATAAGAGCAGCTAGTGTCCTTAACCAGTGAGCCACCTCTCCCAGTCTGGAACTCTTTTGCCTTTACCTCCCAGGGCCTGGGATTAGAACTGTGCACTACTGCAGCCAGCTTGGTAGCTAGGTTTCCCCCTCTAAGTCCAGTCACCCTTGGGTGTTCGTGAGAGATGCAACTCTCAGCAGAACCTGAAATCTGTGATGACCACCTCCCTTAGTGTAGTGCAGCATTTGGCTGTAACCCACCCAACTCCCCAATATACTTGAACTCATCTCAAGATAGCCTGGAACAGCCAACACAAATCTATGCTAAGAAATGGATGCTAGTCCGTTCTTCCTCTTCCAGGCTCCCACCCTATCTTTACAGCAAACTCCCTTGGGTCTTGGCATCCCATGAGGCTTCATGTTCTTTCCTCATATCCAACCCCACCAGCTCCTAACCCTGTTATAGGTTTGGAAAGCACCCAGCACCCCATTGCCTGGGTTGTCTTTTGCATACCTGACTATTTGATATGAGGTGCAATTTTGAACGCCATCAAATTAACCTCTCTAAAGGACACAATCCAGTGGCATGATCCTTTACGATGTGTGAAATCCCATTTGTCCCAGTCTTATACACCTGGCCTCTTCAGGTTAACCATGCGCTATGATTTCAGACTGCCCTCCCACCAGGATGCACGTTCCTGGCATCGGAGACCACGAGTTCAAGGGCTCCACTATACCCTCAGCTCCTGTCTGGAGGGGCAGCCCCCGCATACCTGCGGCCACAAAGAGGATTCCTGCGCTGAGGACAATATTGTTCTTGCTGCTGTAGATCCTCCCAGCGCCAATGCAGAGCCCTCCAAGCAGAAGCAGAATGGTGCTGAGGATGGGAAAGACACTGGAGGCTCGCACAATGCCTAGGCCAAGGAGGGAACAAAGCAGACATGGAGTGAGTCCAGCCAGCACCCCTCCCATGGCCATACGCATCTCTCCCAGGAGTCCTGCTAATGGATCTGGGCAAAAAAATGGCTCTAGGTTGGCTGTTTACTTTCTCAGATGCCAACTGACCTGTAATCACACCTGCCTGCGGGTCACTGGGCCTCTTTTTGGGTGTGGGTTGCATTTCCTTCAGATGAGAGGGATCAGAGTCCCTCAGTGGCACTGGGGAGGCCACAGTAACTACTATTCTGAACAGTATGGGATTGATACAAGAGCTCGCAGCCCACTAAGCTCTCTCCTGAATGGTCCCGTAGGAGCAGCAGAAGGTTGGGAAGTGGTGTGCTCTAGAGCTAGCTCTGATCAACGGTTGGAGGAACAGGCTTTAGAACAGTAAGTGGGGCTAGGTGTGAGACCTGCTCTGTCGTCACACGCTGTGGTCACCAGGTCACCAGGCTCGTGCGCATGACAAGTGCCTTTACCTGGAGCCATCTTGCCAGCCCACCACGATAAAATCTAATTGACAAATCAGGTATAGCAAGTGACTGACAGCAGCTAATAATAAAATAGGATCATGGCAACAATACACTGTAATAAAAGTTAATTTAAAAACCAACGGGTTCTTTATTTCTGGCATTTTCCATTTTGTAAGTTTAAATTGCTGTTGACTAAAATCTCAGAAATTAAAGTCATGAATTAGTGGAGATCACTGTGCTGTGGTTGGTTTTGTCCTTGTGGGGCAATTAGCACAAGGCTGGCTGCAGTATGTATTTTCTAAGTGGCTACTTATGTTCAGCAAGTCACCACTGAGCCTGGTGACACATGAAGATATACAAGCTCACAATGTGTGTGAGTCACAGAAGAGGCAGCAGGGCAGGGCACAATAAGAAGCTGTCCATCACACTGGCCAGCAAAACCATGTCTGACTCCTTGTTCTACCTCTGACCAGCATGGCTGGCGGCAGGGCCATGAAGTTCAGTGGCTGCCTGAGTTCACTGTTTGATAACTTGGCCACAGTAAATGATATCAAGCTGGAAAGGTTGGCTGTGTCCTTTCCCTGTGGATGTGGCTGCCTATGGGAAAAAGTATTACATATGTGTTTAGGGACCTTAGGGGCCTCAAGATGAGACCATTCTGAATGAACCCAGGTCTCAATTTCTGTTGCTTTCAGTCATGTGGTTCATGATGGTTTGTTATAGCCCCTTAGGAAATGAATGCCCACCAAAGCACATAGTAGGCTTCTGGTCCTCACCCTGAGCGTCTGAATAGACAACAAGGTCAGAAGAAGAGAACAGATTCATGGGAGATGCTCAGAGCTTGGCCTCCTCTGTCCTTGCAATCCTAGAGAAATCCAGTTGCGTGGGCCTTGGAGAACTGAGTCAGGAAACGCGGGCAGGTGCCCCTCCTGAGCCAGCTGACTGGCTTGGGGCCTTCCAGCCTCTGAAGGCGGTGTTTGTCTCCTTTCTGTACACCCACAGTGTGAGCCCCTGCTCCACAGAGAAGGGATTGTGTGGGGGCATTAAATGAAAAGTCCTCTCTCTGCCACTTCCTCCCGATTCCTCTTAGCTTTTTTGTCATCGCAGGCTCTGGGAGGAGGCTTCCTGTGTGCTTCTCAAATGGGCCTCTGAGCCGAGATGGCCAGACTCATGTCATGACCCTGCCCTGCCTTCTGCAGACCAGTCAGATGGTCCAGAGTGGACACTGGAGCCCTGTGGCACAGAGACACCCATCCAGGTGAGTCCTGCCAGCACCTGTCTCTTGCTACATGGACTCAGATGCTCAAGTGTCTTGCCACAGGGACTGTGAGAAGCTGGAGTCAGCCATGCCCCAGTGACCACATCCAGCCATGGGGGATGATGTGTATCTGGAGAATGGACACTATCTTGTAACTTTAAGCCCCACTGTGGAGTCACAGTTGCCTGGACACCAGCATTGTTGCTTGGCACAGGTATCAGCCATTTAACTGGAAATCTCGAACCTAGGAGGGAGATGCCAGACCTGAGACAAGACAAGCAGAGACTATGGGCACAAGACACACCCAAGAAAGAGACTCTCTGAAGGGTGTGAGGTAGTGACTCCCTCATATCCCAAGCTGTGAGTGTGCAACACACATAGGCCTCCAAGGACCAAATGTAATTCAAAATGCAAGTCTAGCCTCTCTTAGGAATGTGAGGCTCAGAGTTGACTTGTTTCTTGAATTTGTTTCTTGAACTTTCTAAGAGTGAGGAGCTGCCTAGCCTCAGGCCTGCTAGACTGCTGTCTCACAGGCCTTCCTTTGCTATAGAACCTTCTGTGCTCTTCAGACTCCTGTGTTCTGACACCACACGGAGGCCAGAGGCCAGACCTGGAGGCCAGAGCTATTTCCATGCCCCTTTATCCCACGTGCTCGGAATGGTGATAAGTCTATGACAGAGTTACATTAAATGAATGAAGAAATAGATGACATCATTCTGTGAGCCCCCAGAGACCTCTCTCCAGGGATCCTCTACACAGAGACCAGAGGGCTGCATACTGAGAATAGGGGTAGCCTGGAAGACACAGGCCTCATGGCCACGGGGACTATGACTTTCACAGGTCTTGAAGTTGGCCTGCAGCTGGCTCCAGGTTTCCCTGTGTCCTAGGGGAAGTTGGAAATCAGTTTTTAGGGACCTATCTCTACAGCTATTCCTGGACACACAGTAGCTTATTATGAACCAGTAGGTCTCCATGGGGATCTGGTACATTTGAGAACACATCCTTTGTGGGAGAGACAACTGCCATATCCACGCTATCACTCTGAGGTACTCCCAGACGCCTGGCTACCCAGGGGACACTGCTGGTGGGAGGACCTGTAGCATCAGGGCCAAAGCTTCTGGCCATGTGCTTTGTGTGACTCCAGACTTTTACTCTGTCTTTCTCTGTCCCATCCTGGACCCCAGGAGGCTGACTGTATGGACCAAACCTTCAAGGCTCCCAACTCTGGCTTTTGGAGGGCAGTATCTCTGATGGAGATATTTCCCAAGCCTTCTCTCTGCCAAACTGCAAAATGAAGGAGGCTGCCATACTCTTGCCTAAGGATCTCGGCTCTTGTCAGTCAGCTCTGTCCTTCCAGCTCCCTTTTGAGAGCTCTGCATTGCAGAACCGGAAGGCTGTCACTCACACTGTCATCTATGCAAGCGGCATTTCTTGAGTTGTGCAGTGCGCAATCTCCCTCATCTATGGCTACCCTAAGGGGACCTCATTTACCACGTAGAGTGTGGGCCTCCAGTATGTCGAATCAGAGGACAGGAAGGTGAAAGGGGAGAACATAGGGAGGTGGGTTGGAGGCAGGGCTCTGGTCATATTATTTCAGGTTCTGGGCCTGGCTGGAGCAGCCTGACATGGGCTCCAAGGGAGCCTCAGCTCCAAGGGAACCGCACACTGTTCTATTTCATCCGATGACTCATGATCCAAATCCTTTCTTGTAGGGGAAAAAAAAAGACCCATAATCAGGTGCACGGTGAATTATCTCTCTCTAAGGACACACTGGTATCGATTCTCTATGTGTGAGGCTGGGCCTGAGCCCCAGGGTGCTGCAAGCAGCAGCTTTGTGTCTTTTGGCTGATGAGGAGGAGGGAACGACACAGAAAGCCTAGCATCCATCTCTAGCCCCTCTCTGGCTGTGTCTCCCTCTTTTCTGGAGGAGAGGGGTCCAGAGGTCCACGGATGAACTCTGGACAGACTTTGGGAGCAGGGGTAGCCCATCCTTTGGGATTCAGCACATACTGTGGGTACGAATGGGCAGGCATAACTCAGTCCCAGGATCAGACGGGAGGAAGAGCTTAAGGGCAGTCCATAGGCAGAGGCAGTGGCTGCATTAGTTGGGGCTGAAGTGACTTAGGGCCTCCTGTCAGAGGTGGCCAGGAGGCCCTGCCAGCTTCATCACCAACTGTAGGATTCTTTTTAAAATTTTTTAATTACTTTGTTCATTTACATCCCAGGCATTATCCCCTCCCAAGTCCCCCCTCACATGTGTTCCACCCCCAACACACCTCCCCCTTCCCTGGGGCCTCAAGTCTCTGAAGGATCAAGCTCATCTTTCTCCCAGTAAGGTCAGACCAGGCAGACCTCTGCTCTATGTGTGTATGCTCCTGGTCGGTGGCTCAGTCTCTGGGAGCTCCCTGGAGTCTGGGTTGGTTGAGACTGCTGGTTTTCCTATAGTGTCGTTCTTCCCTTCAGCTTCTTCACTGACAAGATTCCTCACAGAAGAAGTCTGGTGAGGTAATCCCTACACAGTGTGCCTCAGATGCTCCACCCCTCAGGAAGGTGTGTCCCGGGCAGAGCTATTTTTAGCTTTTATCAGGACTGGGCCTTAGAGAGCTCAGGCTGGCCTCAAAGTCACTACACAGCAGAGGAGGAGCTTGGCCTCCTGGTCCTTTTGCCTCTTCCTCTTGAGTGCTGATATTATTAGTCTGAATAATCACACGGGGCTCAGAGAGCTCGTATCTTTTCTTTTTGTAAAACTGGAGACGGGGTCTAGACTAACAGACAGGGTCTAATCTAGACTCAAACTTACTACACAGCAGGAGATGACCTCGAATTCCTGATCCCCTACACCTCTGCAGTGCTGAGATTACAGCCTGTGCCACCAAGCTGGATTTACGCTGTGCTGGGCGGGGATGGAACTCAGAGCCTTATGCATGCTAGGCAAGCACTCTGCCAACTGAGCTCCATCCCCAGTGGAAGTTCCTACCCCCCCCCCTTTTTTTAAAAAATTTTTCTTTTTCCAGATGTTTCTTTCTAATGAATTGACCATTACATTTTTAAATTTCTAAAATGGCCAACAGGCCATAGAAAGACATTTATTTAGGCACCTGCTTGACACCAACAGCTTCAGCAAACTGCTGGCCTTGATTCAGGGCCAAGAAGTTCCTACCCTTCACTTCCGCTTGCTCCACCAGCCTTCCCTTGAAGCTGTTCTTTCCTGATTGGGCTTCCGTGTTTGTGGGCCTCAGCCTTTGATCCACTGTACCTACCCTCAAATACACAGCATGTCAGGCCACTCCTACACTAAGCCCACCCTCTGAGCTCGGGACTTCTAAACGAAAATGCTCACAAGCCCCCAGGGCAAAGAACTGGGGGGCCAAGTCCACAGAGCTCACCTCTCTAGCCCCTCCCTTCCTCTCCCCTCCTCAATACAAAGCAGCTGAGGTACTTGTCACTCACGGAGGAGGTACTCGGAGCTGTCATGGTCGTAATCGTTATCCTCTGGAAAGTGGTTGATCCGGAAGCAGTGCCCTTTATAGATGCCTAGAGGAACCAAAGGGAAACACAGGCTGTGAACGTCCCATGGCATAGGACAACCATTCACTCCAGACATGGAAGCTTTAGGCAGGTCACAGGGGCAGAGACATGAGAGGTTGCGTCTGAAGTCCCCACTGCTCAGTGTCCCATAGGGACGCGCACTCACACAGAGGTCTTGCACATTGAGATGAGCCTCAGTCAGAACTATATCATTTCTGGTTAAGCCTCGACATCCTCAAGGATGAAACAACACACCTCACTGTCAGGACAAAAGGCCCCACACCGCAGGCGGGATGCCCAGACCTGGGGGACTCTAGCATTGCCGCTTGAAAAATGAGCCGGAGTTTGTTCCTCTCGAATGGTCAGAGGGACAGGCAGACTCACAGAGGGACAGGTCGGATGGTGCTTATACAGTAGAGTGAACTCCTCCCTCCAAGTGCTAAAATGGACTCAGATTCCAATCCTCTCAATCCGATAGAAGGTAGAGAGCCAAGAAACTTCCAGAAGGGTACAACTATCTCCTGCCCGGCTTGGAGAAGTACTGTCCCCACCCACTATGGTCTTTGCAGTGCAGAAAAGCAGAATTCCTGGTTTAACTCAAGGACAAGACAGTTCTCTCTTCCAGAATCTTCCATCCATTTTTCTCCCAATCATCTGTCACCCTGCAGCCTGAGAATGCCAATCACTAAACATACCAGCAGAGAGGGAGTCACATGGGGAAGAGGGGGAGGTCATGCCGCTACGTGCCTGTGCCTGCCAACTCCTCATACCTACTCAGTCACATGACTCCAGCAGCCGATGGCCAGAGCCCTTCCTCCCTAACCCCTTAACTGGTCAGAGCTGGTCTATTCCCAGCTGTCACCAGTTCTCTTGAAGCTTCTGCCAAGCATCCTGCTGGCTTCCAGCAGCCCAGCCTGGCCTCATAGTGGGTGGGAACAGTACTGGAGGCTGGAAGTATGCCAGGGGCACATCTGTCTTCCCGTGTGTCCAACTAAGGTCTCCCTGCTGAGCTGGGGCTTGTCACTCTCCTACCTGGTGACACTCGAGCTGCTGACCAGGTGCCCGACTCCAGGCTCTCCCTCCACCTCCCTTCAGCTGCTGCTCCAAAGACCTGTGTGCACAGTAGCATCTGTACTTCCCCGGACCCCTGGTCAGAGGTGCAGGGGACAGACAGAGAGTCTCAGAGGAGGTATCTTGGGTGGGGTGTGTTTTCTGTGAGAACTCAGTTAACCTTGAGTTCCCTTGCCTACTCGGTGGCAATAACCTCAGCTCTCATCCCTAATATCAGTTCTCAGGTCCCTTAGAACTACAGATGATACCGGTGAGGCTATGAGGTGGTTCTTGGCCACCTCATAGCCAAGATTCACGGCTGAATCGGGGAGATTCACGGCTGCTGGGCCCTGAGCTGCCCGTCTTCTACTTCACGTGTCCCTGAGTGGTTGAGTCAGTGAGCAAATGCAGGAGCTATGAAGAAGCAGGACTATCGGAATGGGTGGGGCCCAGGATAGCTGCAGGTAGGTAGACTGGCAGAGAGTCAAGTGGGCCAGCTGCAGCTCCCCCCACCTGGTTCATTCCTAGGACCTGTTCCCCAGGATTTAAAACTGTTCCCGCAGACCCAGAACCAGCCTTTAAAGAAGTAGGGGAGCAGAGCTCTCTAGCACTGCCCACCCCCAACACTTCCCTTTTTTTTTCCTTTTTTTTTTTTTTTTTGCCACTTCACAGGTCTAGAGAAAATCACCAAGTCGCACATGCTTGTTGGAACAAGTCAAATAATAAGAGATTGAGAAAGAAAAAACCAATCTCTTCAGCTCGACAATCCTGCAGCTGACTTGTCTTTGTGGACCGTCTCCCCCACTCTCCCATGCACAAGCATACAGGTAGGGGTCTCCCCTAGTTTTAAGGGGTGCTGCAAGCTGAACCCAAGTCCTTGCTTATACTAAGTACATATTCTACTCCTGGACTCTTCTGCCTCTATTTTTTTTAAGCACCTTATTTTTAATTACTGTAGATTCATATGCTCATGTAAGATATAATGAGAGACGGTTCAGTGGGAAAGTGCTCGCCACTCAAGCATGAGGACCGACTTTGACTCCTTAGCACCCATGTGCAAGGCCTGGTATGGTGGTATTCTGTAACCTCACAGTGCAGGGTGGGGAGGTGGACAGAGAGAAGAGGATCTTGGGAACACCAGCCAACCAGCAAACTCTAGCCAATCAGAAAGCTCCAGGTTCCGAAGGTAGAGAAGGCTAGGGTTACAGCACGAAAGTGTGAGGACCAGAGTTCAGATCCCATGAGAGGATGCCAAAGTCTGATGGGTGAGGAGGGCTGCCTGTAACCCGGGGTGGTGTGCCTATAACCCAGAGTGGTGTGCCTGTAACCCAGGGTTGTGTGCCTGTAACCCAGGGTAGTGTGCCTGTAACCCAGGGTAGTGTGCCTGTAACCCCCAGGTGGTGTGCCTGTAACCCTAGGCTGGTGTGCTTATAACCCCAAGGTGGTGGTGTGCTTGAGGGTTGGTGGGGGAGAAGATACAGGGAGTTCAGAGCAAGCTGGCTATTGAAGATAGCTCAAACAGTGAGATCTGGTTTCAGCTAGAAACTGCCTCAATACATAAGGTAACAATGAGGGAGGACCCAACAGCAGCTCAGGCACATACACACATGTGCACACATACATATACATGTGCACCCATACATACACATATACATGTGCACCCCCACCCATGAACAGACACGCACATATACACATGTACTCACACACATGCATGTATGTCTACACATACACACATACATGTGTACCCACATAATGCACCTATACATACATGTGCACTCACATGCATGCATGCACACATATACATGTGTACCCATACACATGCATCTATACACATACACGTGCCCCCCCACATGTACCCATACATATACATGTGTACCCATACAAACACACATACATGTGCACCCACACACATGAACACATATACACATGCATGCACTCACACACGCACACACACAAATAAGCATGATAATAAAACAATTAAGAGCCATTTCAAAGTCAACTTCTGGCCTCCACACATGCCCATGCTGGTGACCACACATGTAACTACACCCACACATACATAGAGAGGGAAAAGTGATATGACATGGGATGACCTTCACTCTGTTTCCTGGTAACACCTGAGAAAACTAGCATGATGACACATTCAGGGTGGTGACACTGATCTCATGTGTGATCCAGAACCTTCCATCACAGGATCACCTCCAAGTGCCCTTCGTGTTTAGCCACAACCTACCTTTCTGTCTACCCCAGTCTCTCCTGAACCCACAGCAATCACCATGGGGTTCTCAGTTGTGCTAGCTTTGCCCTTTAAAATGTCAACACATGGGCTGCACGGCACAGTAACCTTTAGGGGGTGGCCTTTTGTACTCGACAGAGTTCTGAGATTCTCTCCCGTTTGTGTGTTGGTGGTTTGTGCCTTCCATGGCTGGGCAGTGTTCTACAGCACAGAAACCTTGTCTTCTGCGAAATCATGACCCCTGAGGGAGTTCCACTGTTTCCAGCAATACTGCTGTGGCTGTTCATGTTCAGGTCTTGGGAAAAAATGTTTATTACCATTCTGAAACAATTGCCCAGGGGTGCAATTGTTGGGTCATATGACAGGGACACTCTTAGTGTTAATAGAGACTGCCCTGAAACTCACTCTGTAGATCAGGCTGGCCTTAACGCAAAGATCCACCTTCCCCTGCCTCTTGAGTACTGGGATTAAAGGTGTCTACCACTTCTGCCCAGGAAAGTGTTCTTTTCTAATTGGAAAAACAGTAAATCAATATTAATCCAAACGATGCTTAGAAAAGTCCTCAAAGGAAGCCACAGGGAAGAGAGAGCTGTAAGAGCCCCGCCCTGCCCAGCACTGAGGGAAAGGGCTTTAGCCTTCATAAGGGTATCCTGTAGTTGTTCAAACTCAACTTATGAGTTGATTTTTATGGCACTGTGGATGGAGCCTAGGGCTCCCAGCATGCTAAGCAAGTGCTGTTACTGAACTATGTCCCATGCCGTTAATTTATTTTAGATAGACTTGTAGACAAGATTTTGTAGTACATCTATCAGTTTTCATAGCTTTTGTTTGTTTGTTTTGAGACAGGGTATCACTATGTAGCCTTGGCTGGCCTGATCTTACAAGGTAGACTAGGCTGGCCTTGAATGCATATCTAGGCTGGCCTTGAATGCATACCTGTCTACCTGTCTCTGCCTCCCAAGTGCGGGAATTAACACCACCAGGCCAGGATTGTGACTCTGTTTTTGAAGTGCTGGCTATCCATTATAGCCTGTTAACTCAGTGTGTGTGTGTGATGAGTGTGTGGTGTGTATGTATATGTGTGTGGTGTATGTGTGTTGGGGTGTGTGTATGGTATGTATATGTGTGTGTGTGGTGCGGTGTATGTGTGGTGTTTGTATGATATGGTGTGTGTGTATGATGAGTGTGTGGGGTGTGTACATGTGTGCATAGTGTGTGTATATGGTGTGTATATGTGAGTGTGGTGTGTATGCACACATGGGTACACACGAGTGTAAATGAATACACATGTACATGTGTAGAGGCCAGAAGTCAACTTTGGGTATCCTTCCTCAGGGACTACTGATCTCGATTTTTGAGGCAGGGTCTCTCACTAACCTGAAATGTGTCAAGTAGCCTAGGCTGGCTGGCCTCTGGAAATCTCTGCTTTTCCAGAGCTGGAACTGCAAGCACCTGTCAACACTCTTGGCGTTTTACTTGGGCGTTGGGGACTGAACTCAGGAATTTATGCTTGGGTAGCATTTTAGCAGCGGACTTCTCTCCCCAGTGGTTCGTTCTTAAGCACATGATTTGCAGTGGCTGCAGGAATGTCTACATGTCTAAATCTCTCAGTTATTTCTTGGGGGCTCTGTTCAGACATGGTGGGTCCCACCGTTTATGGGGTAATGATCAAAGGGTGTCTGAATGCATGTACTCCACAGTAGTTTTCCTGCCCCTCTCT